CCCCAAAACCCCAAAACCCCCCTGTGAAAGATCATCAAATTTTTTAATCTTTTTTTTATCACATCTTTAAAAATTAAAATATATTTAGTTATTAGATTCTTAAAAAAATTATTAACAGTATAAGTAATTTATTCGATTTTAATGGTTATTATATATCATCTTTTAGTGATCTATTAAAAACTAATTACAAATCCTAAGCCTACTCCTACTGCTTATACAGCCATTATTATAACTTTTTTAAAAGTATTTTCAGGAGGGATATCATTTTATTACTGTACTTCAAAACTTCCATAATCATAAGGATTGCTTCGCAGACCTTTTTCAAGATCCTATTCTTCATCATCCTATAAAGGTCTTATTGCATAAACATTTTCAATTTCTTTAATGATTTCATCGTAACATGGATTTATTGATTGAGTAACATCTGCATGTAATCTGATTGCATCAAGTTTTTGAATTAAATAGGCTACTTTTTTGCATAAAAGGCTTTGGAACCAAGATTCAGATAATTACCCTTTTAAATCAATTATCTTTTAAACATTATCATCTTATTACCATTTAATATTTAACGGTTCAGTCAAAAACAAAATGCTATAAAGTACAGAAATAAGATCGTCTATTTAAAGAGCATACTATCCTTTGAGTACGTAAATTGAAGAAGTAAAATTAGTGCCTTTATTTTAAATACCTGAATTGATGTGTACTTTTGATTCATCAAATTTTGCAGTTGCCCCAAAATCAATAAGATATAGCAAATCGTCTGAACTTTTTCTAAAATTATCTGGTTTAACATCCCGGTGAAGGTATCCTAGCCTATGAAATTCTCTTATCTAGGTTATCATCTAAACAAATAAACTTTATTATTTTTTAGGATAAATTGTCAGATATTCACTTAACGACAAATCTAAATATTCTAATATAAGGTATTAGTAATCTTTCCCCAAACTGCCATAATCAATTATTTGAGGCATATTCAATGATTAATTTGGACCATTTTGATTGAACATATTTATTTCATTCATTATCAGCTTTTCCTATAAGAATTGCAAAGGCTGCTAAATCAAAGAGAAAAACTTGACTGCAAACTTCCTAGTATCATCTTGGTAGAGGTAGACCACACCAAATGATCCTCTTCCTATTTCATGTTATTTTTTATATTTGTTTTTTAGAACATCTGGTGGTATAAATTCAGACATTTATCTATATATTTGCTTTTATTTAAAATTAAATTATTTGACCAATCTAGAGATAAAGCTTCACGGGGTTTTGGGGTTTTGGGG